TAGCTGTGTTTTTAAGCAGTTTTCTCCTCTTTTGTCTCAAAGTAACACTGTTGTTTGGCTACAGTTTTGTTACAGTTTTCTGTTGACTATAATTCCTCCCGTACAGTATATATAACGTGGGAAAGTCTACATTCACCTAAATATTAACAGATCTCGACACATGACTCAAGAAACGAGAATTATTTACAGCGTGAAACCAAATTTATGTTTTGTTGCGTCTCAGAGTTCATAACCATGAGCAGGCATTGATGGAGGAAGCGTTTGATTTAGATGCCCGTTTGTCTGAGAGACATAACATATGCTCGCTCCCTTTCACTGTCTCTCCCTCGCTCTCTCTCCCTTTCTCACTCACACTTTGAGTGGCTCTCAGTGGGACAGAATTGAGTTATCTGTGGCCCTGAGAGTAAGTTATTACAGTGGGCGTAGGGTGAAACAGAGATGGAGATAACTAGGAGGAAATCCAATTACCTTTAAGGGTTCTCTATCTAATAGGATCCTTAATGTGCAGGAGATCTGCAGATCGGACGCTGCTGCCCAGCACTGCCAATGATAGACTCTGATATCTTCCAGCGGCGCAGAGAGGAGAAGGATCCCAAGAAATAGAAAGGAGAAGGAGGAGAAATCGAAACTCCTCCTTTTTATGGGGCTGTTCAGGGATGAAATGTGGTGGGCTCAGTGGCACAAGGGCAGATAAGCAGGTCCAGATAGCGAAGAGTGAGCGAGGCCCGAGTCATTTCTTTTCTTACTCACTGTTCATGTTTTTTTTCCCCTCTTCTTTTTTTTATGCACTCCTTTTGATGCGTCCTCTGCTGTTCCATGAAGTAATTGAATTGACTGTCTGGGAGACTCGGTGAACGCCAGACGACAGCGGCTTATTAGTGCCTGGCGTCATTGTCTTCCCTTCCTTGTAAAACGATCCAGCCCTTCTTCCCACGTTAATGACATTAACATTGAGCTGATGCCCATTGTGCTCTGTTAGCATCGCCCTGCCCTGCTCTGGTAGAAAAAAGCCTTACAAAGCTGAGCATTGAAGCCTCACAAAAGGTTTAGGTTTTTTTCTTAGTAAGGTTTTTTAATAAAAAGTCAATGTCCACATGTATTAGCAGACCGTGAATTTCCATGAACCATGAATGAAGTTCATCCTGCTTTGACTGGAGGTTTTTGTGTTGTCGTTTTAAACCTTTGCAGAAACCCTGCTGTGTTTTTGCAAATTTTAGAAGCCAAATGCCCTAAAGTTATTTCACAGTAAGAAATATTGTCCTTTCAAGGATGTGTAGACAATGTAATCCAACAGGAGCCACATCTATAAGGACCTTGGTAGATGTGATTTTTTTTAGTAAAAACATGCAAAAATAATGAGAATAAAATAATTACTTTTTACATATACATCGTAATATACAGTATATTATGTATAAGGGAGCCACTTACTTTGTGAAAACTCAAAATCTTTTCTTTGATCGTCTTCCTGTTAAATAAATAAATAAATAAATAATAAATTCTCTTCCTGTTAAATAAATAATAAATTAACTAAAGAACAGAATTAGATTAGATCTTTATTAATCCCTTGGGAGTTTCCCGTCGGGAAATTAAGCATGTTGTTCAAACCCACTGTAGGAAACAGAGTTGTTTTTGTTTGAATCCAGAGGCAGTCTGCCGGCTAATGGATGTCTAACACAAGTGTCCTGAGCATCGCTGCCCCCGAAGGCTATTTAAACCTCATCCGGCAGCACCGTGACTGACAGCTGCCACCAACCATAGCTCGCTGTCATGTAATTGTTGCAAGTGTAATGCGTTTTGTCAGCACCGCTAGACTCCCGAGCATCTTATTACCCGTTGGATTTTGAGGAAATCGAAATTTTCCAAGAATTAGCGGAAAATGTTGTGCATTTGTCTGCACCACAGTTTATCAAAATATAACAAATTAATCCAGCAGATATTTTAGAATCCTGGATTTGTATTGTATGAATCTATTGTCTGATCTTGTTGGATTATTTTTCTCTACTGTACATCACAGACTGTATCAGACAGACCTGTAAAAAAAAAAGACGGAGAACTGGGCTGCACGGGGATGGTTGGGGAACAGTCGACTCAGTCCTGCTGTCTTGTCAGCGTAATGAAGTCCCCTGGTACCTCCGCTGCAGCTCCCATCATTATGTTTGACCAGCTAGCCCTGAAATACGACGATAACTTCTCTGTTTCACTTTGACACGCTCCCTTTAGTCACCGGGCTTTTGTCTGAAGAGCTGAAGTTCATCTGCCAATTTTTAAAAATATTCCAGCAGATTTTACAAACTGTATCTCATTTTAATCACTTTGAGACACTCGCACATTTAAGTAACAAACAGTGAAGTGTTTTTTTGATCATTTATTTTGGATAATCATTTCTTACGATGTTCAATCTCAGCCCCGCATTCCTGATCTCTGGGCCAGCGCTTTTCAGGAGGCTGTGTATTTTTCATTTGGTCACATCCTTCCTTCATTTGACTATTTTTCACCTCCACCACGACACATATGATTTTTCACGTGGCATGACCTTGAAAGGGAAGCTGCAGTCATTGTGCAAACATGGCAGCAAAGCAGACTGATGTGGCGAAAGGGAGGCGCAGTTTTGCAGAGACAAGAGGTTTCTGGGTAGGAGAGATGAAGAGGCTGCCAGCTGAGGATGGTGACCAGTCCATTAAAGATCAGCCACAGAGGAGGAGGAGGAGGAGGAGGAGGAGGAGTGTGGGGGTGGAGGAGAGAGATACTTTGATAAGTGTTGTGCCTGCGTTAACCTTGATGGCCACTAGCAATGGGCTGATGCCAGCAGCAGGGATCTGTTTCAGCGGGATTAGATTTTTTTTTTTTTTCCTCTGGTGCTTGAAGAGAGAAAAAATCAATACTTGGGAGCACAGCATGACAGGGGCATCATTTCAGAATTGAAGGGGCTGTCATTCATTGTCATTTGGCGACTTTTGTTCGCCATTGTACTTTTAAGCCCTCATTTTTCTCTCTCTCTCCTCTTCCTATCACTCGTTTCTTCCCCGGCCCATTGTCTGAATTCCCCTGGTGACATTTTATGTTGCAATTTGAAAACTCGAGGGCAAGAGATCAAGTGCAAGAGAATCTCTTTGAAACCAATTGGTGGACTGCTCCGGCATCTACTTTTGTTTAGTTGCCCTCATCCTCCTTTTCTCATTTCATTCTCTTGTCTCCCTCGATCCCCAACGTGTTCCTGGAGGAATCTATTTGTAGTGCATTTGCATTCTCTGATACCAGACAAGGACAAGCCTGATGTCTCGCCTTCCGTAGGACAGTTTTTCCTGCCCGTTTGTAAACGAAACCCTCTGGGAGCGCTTGTCGACGGATGTGAGAAATTGGAGATTCTTGCAGAGCGATAGTCCAGCCTCGGAGAGTGTGCAGCCCTAATGTGGCACCAGTGTCAAGAGATTGCAAATGAAGCACTTTAATAACACCGGTGCCGGCTTTGTTTTCTCTGTGTTGTTCTTCGACAGTATTGTGACAGTTAGCGTGTTGAAGGCTCACTGTGGAACAGCAACACCGCCAGACCCTTCTCTGTCACTCTAATTGATAAACATAGGGTTGATATCTTGTAATGAGGCTCCATTCTCCAGCCTATTATACTGGTTAACCCTCTCAACCCACAGAGGGAGAGGAGGAGGAGGAGGAGGAGGAGGGGAGGAGGAGCAGAGGCATGATCTGACAACAACTACAGCATTTAGATAAGGCTGACATCGATACAACTGAGACAATACTCTTCCTTTTTTGTACAACGCCACAACTGAGACAATACTCTTCCTTTTTTTTTTCTTTCGGCTCATTATTTGTAGCGTCAAAAAAGCGGACGGCAGAAAGACTGCCTGTGTGATCCCGTTCAATTATGTTTGGCGACAACAGTAACGAGCCTTTACCTTTGAGTTTCTGCCTCTCCGTGGGTGTGTGCTGCCATTTGCTTTTGCCTTCACACGACGCCAGCGACGGCTGCTGTTTTCACTGCGGCCCTTTGCAGTGCTCCGGCACAGCCCTGTTTCCTCTCCAAACTCCAGCACACATCCATATTTATTTATTTGAGCCGTGGATGAATTGTCTGAGACACGGCTCAGTGTAATTGACTCGATTAATGCCAGCCATTATCATTTCGTCTTCCCCGAGCTGTCTCTGCCGGGAACACAGGCACCCACACTGGCTGACCCTGTCAGCCGGGCCTTGTAATGGAAGGTGCTGCCCATGATTACAGTGTCGCAAGTCATAAAGGTCTCACTTGCCAACGAGTTGTGCCCTGCTGGCTGTCTTGGTAGTGCAGCTAACACGGCAGAATCTGCCAGCCGTTTTTTTTTTTCTCCCTGTGCTCTGCTCTAATTTGGTAAATGGTATCTCCGCATGTCTTTTTATGGCCTTGTTTTCTTGTCAAAAAGCGGACACTCTGACTGCTTTAGCAGACCTTTTTCAAAGTGCAGAAAAAAGAACATATACTTTTAATTGACTTCTTATGTTTCTTTAACATTCCTCGAATGGAATGAAAGAGGAGCTTGTTTGGAAAAAAAAGAAAAAAAAAGAAGCTAAAAGTGGCCCATAGTTTCTGTCCTTTATCCTGTCAATGAAACAGAAGGTAAACCAGAGCGATGCCAAGTTTGGAGATTGAGTGATTTGGTTAAACTTTCATTATAACATAACATAATAAATCCTTCTTAATACCAGGGCACAGGCTGTGACTTCACATCAATGGAATGACCCCCAGAATTAACAGTGACTTGTCTTTTCCACTTACAAGAAAACCCAGCTTTAGGTTTTAATGCCTGGACTCCTGTGCTCAGCGTTTCTTGGTTGTTATTTTAGGGCCGAGTCAGAGACCTGGGCCATTTTTTTAAATTTCTGCACTGGCCTCTGGCTTTGAAATGAGCAGAGCCCATTACAGCATGGAGGTTCTGGGTGTTTGTGCAGTCTCATCACGCATGTGATGAAGTGTTTGTTTATGGTTATGAGTGTGAACTCAGCTCTGTTGATTAGTCCCACAGACTTTTCATGTCTCAGACGGGGGCAGATGGAGATGGAGGGGTTTTTTTGTTGTTGTTGTTTTTTTTGGTCAAACCTGCTAATAAACCTTCACTAAAAAAGAAAATCTGAACTTTTTTTTTTTGACGAAAGTATATTGACAAATGTAATATTTTTAATTATTATCTTTTTAAGAAAGTATTTTTTTTTTCAAAGTGCAGCACAGTAGTTGTTTGACCCATATATAATAATAACTTTATTTTTCAGAGCAAACAAAGGCAAATACACAAAAAGATTTCAAAATACTAAAGTCAGAATTATTCTATGGTTAATGTCCAAAAAGAATATTTACATATTTACATAAATTTAAAATTAATTTGATTTTTTTTTCAAAATTAATAATACCATTTACTTAACTAAAGTTACTGTACGGATAAATACTAAGGTTTAAAAATGTCTTTCTCACACAGAAAATACTGCATGAAGACCGACACATCTTTTTGTATAAAGACCTGCTTGTCTATAGGTTTCTCTTACACAAAGTGTACATCTGTCTTTTGTGTCTGAAATATTGAACCTTATTGTCTGTATTTTTTTATATATATATAAGAACAATATCAAAACCAGATATTTTTATATGTTTTCCGAATTACTCGCTTTGGTCCAGTTTCTCTGTGTCCCATTCTTCTCTCCCTAACCCTTACATCCAGTGATCAAGATTAATGGGCATGCAATGCAACCATACACAGAGAGGGGGAGCGGGTGAGGGAGGGAGGGAGAGAGGGAGAGGCAAAGCCTTTTCTTGCTTAAATCTGAAACATTTACACAGCAATCCCTCTTCATACTCTCCCTACTCTGCCGTTTCCTAGGTCACAGTGATAGAAGGTCAAGGCCCAATTTAATGCCACACAAAGAGACACAGATTGATAATTAAGGTCCGGCAGCCTGCAGCAAAAGCCCCTCTAATGTGATTTATACCTATTGATTTCCTGTCAGATATGAAATGTTGCTGTTCAAATTGAAGAGGAGGAGCCATTATAAAGCGCTTTACTGCTAACTTTCAGAAAACAGGTTGCATTTGCTGGTGCCGTGCACCTCTTTTAATACTTAATGTGCAACTCTTGTACGTAGTGGTGGGTCGCCTCAGCGTTAATTGGATAAAGACAACAACATGCAGCCATTAATAATTGATTGTGTTTTCATTTTAAGCCCGATGGTTTTCTTTATTAGCTGCACTTAGAGCGCGCCTACGAAAATATGACTGTTCCAGACATATCAAATGGGTTTTGATTTTTGTTTTTTTTTCTTTTTTACTTTGTGTGTGACATGGAAATTATTAACATATCAAATGGGTTTTGTTTTTTTTCTTCCTTACTTTGTGTGTGACATGGAAATTATTCTTCAAAGTTGCCCACAGTTGCTGGGCTGTGAAATAAAGATAGGAAATCAGAGCTCTGTTTCAAATTATGGCTGTTATTTTCAGAAGGTGTTTTTACTTTTGGCATCGCTGCAGAGTTCAAAGGCCTGTTCTGATAACAAATTCCGACAGAGAAAAATGTCCTCCCTGTGCATTGTGGGTATCGTATTATTTGGCGCGCCGGAGGGCATTAGTAAATACGTGTCCACTGTTATTAATCAAGATGACAAGAGGACAGAAATTACCCTATGCTTTTCATTTGCTCCGGCTCACGGGTGACTTTGTCTCAGTGAAAACACTCTGTGCCAGTTTCTGTGTTGTTAGACATTTGTATTTTCATATATATTTTATAGTACATTTTAATTTGTTGCATATTGAAGATTTGTCTTTTTATTTACCCTGTACACAGCTGTGATGCCTTCACTTACAGATAATATAATGTACTTTTTTTCTTTCTTATTCATTTCCAGTCCAACTCTGCTCAGTATGCAGCCGAGAAGCGAGATGAGGAGAAAATGTGTGACCATCTCATCCGCGCGGCCAAGTATCGTGACCATGTGACAGCAACACAGCTCATCCAGAAGATAGTCAACATTCTGACTGACAAACACGGAGCCTGGGGAAACTCTGCCTTAAGGTAGGGTCGCATTTTAGCTCTTTTACCGTACTTGAAATATGCAGTTAAAAAAAAACATCAAGGCCAAGGGCTAATCTTTGTAGCTGAAAATGTAGCAGCGCTTTCTTCCTTTATTTTTTTCAATGAACATTCTGTGTGGGTGTGTACTTTTTCTCAGCCTTGAGAATTACTGAAGGAAGTGCCACGTTTTTAATCTCATCCTGATCTGATCTTTTTCTCGTCCCTTTGCGCTGGTGATTAAATTATATTTGCAGAAGGTGAAAATGTCAGTCGCCGGCTCGAATGATGCATTGGCTCGGCAGGAAGATGAGAGCCATTTAAACAGCCCCACTTCCATTAAGATCACATGGAACCTTATCCTCTTTGTTTGTGTCGCCAAATAAGCAGCAGAATCCAATGTGTCTATTCCCTAATGATGGCTGTTTGTGCAGGTACTGTGTAATAGCGAGCTGCAGAGACGGCCGCTGGCTCGGGCTTGTTAGACTGAGCGGAGTCTCCAGAGACTCGTCTGGCCAGGTTTTGTTTGCTATTGGATCAGGAGTGTATCTGTGGCTGCGCCTTTGTTTGCCTTGATTTAGCCTCTGTGAGGCTGCAGAGTTTTATTTGTCATATTTTCTTCTTTTTTTTTCTTGAATCGCCCTCCCTACCATAGACTTCCTCTAACACTTTCCTTTTCTATTTGTCTCCTCCTCGTGCACTCATACAAGCCTCTGCTCTTTACTATGGAAATTGCGTTCTACAAGCTCGGGCCAGAAAATTCTCCCATTACCGCTCCTTTGTGCTGTTGTGCTATTGATGGTTTTCCTAATGGCTGCCGATGGGCGCAGGGAGCCATTGGCACGGGGCCTTTGGAGTGCAGCGCTCTTTTAATAAATCACAATCAGTCCTGTGCCATTACATCAATAGTTTTGGTCAATTACTGTGAAGGTCAGGTGGTGCAGCTTCACACTGAAGCCTGTGGTATGTGGGCATTAGAGAAACATCTGGCGCTGCAGAGTGAAAAAGAAAAAAGGCGAACAAAAAGGAGGGAAGAAAACAAAAAAAAGTCACACCTGATACCTGCAGGCGTCTCAATATTGGAACTTTTCTTTCTGTGATTCCACTCATACACGGACCATGTGCTGCAGAAACACCGCTGCCAGTAAATAACAGTTGGAGGGGAGAAAAAAAAAAAAAGACACAATGAAACAGAGCACTACATTTTCCAGCTGTGAAAATGAAATCCAGGAGCATGAAGACCAAACCAAACGGTGATTATGACTCTTGGTTTCCTGGGTGTTTAATCCTACACCGCCATACCATAAACATGTATTCCCCAAAGTTTCCATTCAATAAAGATTCTGAAAATGAAAATATTATTTCACCCACACACTGGAGGGAATTGTTGTTTCCTCACAGCTGACGTCTAATATCTTCTGACACGCTGTGACCCGCCTGAATGCAATTTGTGTCTTAATATCCAGCTTACAGCGCGGTTGGCCTCAGGAGGAAGGAGGTGTTACTGTAGGTGCCTCGCTTTCAAATTTTCCTCCTCTCTTGATTCCCAGTCTCTTCCTCGCTCTTTTTCCTTTGTCTTCATCGTACACACTTATTTATTTTCCTTACATCTTGTTCTTTTGCTCTTCGTCCAGAGAGGAATTCTCCCACCAGACAAAAAGGAAGTATGTGAGAATGTGTCTTCTCATGTCAACACACAGACAGATTCCCCACCAGGGTGTCTACCTGTCCATCTATACATCCCAGTCCCTCCACCTTGAGACTCAGGTGTACAACATGTCAGTCCACTGTCTACATCAGAGATGGAGTAGAAAGAATCTGTACATGTAGCAAGAAGGCAGGAGTCTTTTTTTTCACATCTTTTCAGTTTATTCCCTCCCTTTACTCTGGGTCCACTGAGTCTCCAGACTGCAGCGGTGTATTTTTGGGTCAGGAATCATCCTTCATGTGTACGACACCTGGACAAAGTAGACGGACAGGGAAGGAGATGAGGGCAGATGATGGACAACGCCAGCTCTGTGTCTCTGGGGACAGGCTGTGCTTCTCTCTTTTCCTCGCCTCCCATTCCTTCACCTTATTGCAGTCTAATAGTCTGACTAATGTACCATGGAGATTCACTGTGCAGGTAGTAGGTGGAGGCGGGAAAGTGAAAGAGATTGTGGATGGAGCAGGTTCGACGTAAAGCGTTGATGACCAGCGTTGGAGGTTCAGCCGCAGACGTTTGCTGTTTCTTTCTTTAGGATGGAATCAGCATCCTTTATTCCCACTTTGCTCCGATGATCCTCACCTACAGCCGGGTTCCTCTACAGCACGCCGACTCCTCTCCCTCCGCTCCTCCTCTCTCGTATACGCAACTCATTTTCTGCAGCTCCACTGCTCTAATGGACGCCCTTAGGCTAGAGGCTTCCCAGCCGAGGGACATCCATCTTTTGGCATGTCAAACTCCCGCCCGGCAAAAGATCTTTGTGATGTGCACTCCAATTTTTCTTCAGTAAATCAAATCTTCCTTCCTTCAGAAAGATGAATGCTTTAGGGTTGGAGTGTTATAGAGAAAATCAATGCCGGCAAAATTGAAACAGTATGCCCCCGTATTGATCGGCCTTGTGAGATCGAAAAGGAACAGCTTTGTAACTGTTCCTCTGGACAGTGAGCTGACCTGTAATGGACAAACTATTGATATTAGCATTACTATTTTATCTTGTGCTATGTCATTTCAGCGGTGCGCCGCCGAGGCAGCAGAAGCAGGGACAGAACGTTAGCACAGTTTGTGCAGGGAAAGGTTTCTCTCTCCCATCTTTAATAATAAAAACACACCAGAGAACACACTGAATGGTCTGCACACAACACTGAGAATGGACGTCGCAATCACGCTGTTCATGTGTTATTGGTGTTTAGATATGATTTATCTTCAGTGCATAACAATAGGACTACCAAATTTTCTATTAATATTCAGAAAAAATACTCACGTTTTGCAGATTTCTACAGTTTTCTTTTTTATTTCGGTCATTTTTGCTGTAGAAAAAACCTGATGAAATAAACCTAATACAGCTAAATCCTGGACAAAGACAAAATGATGAAACAGTTTAAGATGTATTTTCCTTACTCTAAAATATATATCATATTTGTTTAGATTTTTTTTTAAAGCATAAGAAATACAGTTGTGGAATTCTGATTTTTCAGAAAAAATACTCACGCTTTGCAGTTTTCTACAGTCTCCAACAATGTTTTTCTTTTTTATTTCTGTCATTTTTGCCATTGAAAAAACCTGATGAAATAAACCTAATACAGCTCAATCCTGAACAAAGACAAAATGATGAAACAGCTTAAGATATATTTTCCTTACTCTAATATATATCATATTTGTTTTGATTTTTTTAAGGCATAAGAAATACAGTTGTGGAATTCTGGCTTGTCAAAGTCATAAACTAAAAGATTAATGAAAATAAATTATATTACTGTCTATGATCGCACGTCCAGTCTCAGTGCTGCCCCTAGTGTCATCCTGTTGTCATAACAGGCCTCGTTGTTTTAGTTTTCAATAATTAACCGTCGTATTCCTACGGCTACGGTGAGGACGCGTGTGCTCACGTTGGATTTCTTTTCTCTGAAATAAGTGATTGCATGAGAAGCTGCAGCAGCTTGAGTTATATCCACTCTCATACCTTCATTCCAGACTTAAATCACAATTATGATCCATAATACTGAACGTAATGCATGTGTTAAGGCGGAGGGTCTGTGCAGTGTCTGCGCTGCCTGTGCGTGCATGCTTTATGGAGTCTGTACATTAAGGCCGCGCTGGCGCTGTTCACGCACAGCTGAAAAAGGAAATGGGACTGCAGCACGTCAGCGGAGATTATAACCAAAGGAAACAAGAACATAACTGTTTAGAGTTCACCGGCCCTCGGAAATGCATGACACGAGAGGGGCAGGAAGACGGGGACACGAGAGAAGGGTGATGGTAGGAGTTGGGAGACTAGAGATGGGGGAGTGTTTGTAACCGAAGCATCGGAAGTGTAGATGGAGACAAAGATGAGACAGAGACGGTCCCCCGTGCTTCTCCTCTGGTCGTGGCGTTCTCTGTACGAAGCCAGTGAAATGAATGATTGAAAAAAAAAATCCACGTAAGAGGTTGAGTGTGTGTCATTAGCTGGATGGATAACTCCGAGACTGCCGTCTTATCTGACCATCTGATGGCCTTTTCTTGTAAATGGGAATAAAATAAACACTTTAGATCCTCGCTCTTTTCCTCATTTTGATTTGAACAGATTTTTTTTTTAACACAGATTTTACAGCTGTCATTACTGCGTTTTATGCTGTGTTTTGTTAGACACTGCTACTCTTTACTCTGTCCGTGATACCGTCTTCATTTGTCAAGTCTATCAGATAATAGCTTTTGGTCTGCTTATGAGCATGTGCAGTCTAAACACAAACATGGCCTGACGTCCTGACGAGTGGCAGCTGGAGTTGTTTTCTGCTCCCGTCTCCGTCTGAGGACAAGACGGTTGTTTCCTTTAGGTCCATGTCCCCACTTTTCGAAAACCAATTAGCCGGAGCTTAAGTTATCCTTATCCATCTGCCTTGATACTGTCATAAACATAAAGCGTAAACACAGAGCACGCAGAAATGTGATCCTGCCTTCGGTTTCGTTCATGACTCCGGAGTGGGGAGGCAGAGATGAGCAGAACCTTTAAGTCCTTAAAGGGGTTTAACGTGAAACTCCTTCCACCTCATTAATCAGACGCAGTGACAAGTGTCTGGGACAGAAATGTGGTGACGGGGACAAAAAGGATGTTCCTTAAATCTTCAGGGAGACTGTCGAAGTTTGACAGACGTGCGTTCCATCAGTTCCATAAACGCGCGTGCTGCGACCGCCCTACCGTGCAGTCCTGCTGCTGGATATCAATAGGAATATAGCCTTAAAGATAACATTTACCTCCACTGTATATACAGTACAGTGGCTCGGCCTGTAAGGAATAGTAACAAAGTGTCACGGGGAAATGTAT